AGACCAAACATCACAAAAGACCCTGGCGCTCTGCGTAACAGCAGGGCGTTTCTTTATTCTTTTTCTGTCTGAACATAAACCATCTGTTTACGATCTGTGTTTGACTTGCTATTTCTCCAACTGGTCAGGAAAATATCAAAGGCCCCTGTGTTACATGGGCATGTTGTCAGTTAGGAGCATGGATTCAGGAGACAGAACACTGGCTCAGCTTCCACAGAGCCCCACTGTATTCTTTGACCTATACACACTTTAGAAGCCTACGGTAGGTAGGAGCCTCTTCTGTCCCCAACGAATTCTCCAGTTCTTAAAATAGGGTCCCTTGGGAAGATGCCAGGAAGATCTCAGTGGGAATCTCAGTTGGAGCCCCTGTGGGTCACCCTCACTGCCTGGCCAGCCCGCGTTCCTTCAAAAAGATTCATTGACTGAATGGTGCAGAATCTATTCTCCAGGGTGCACACAGAACCCTTTCCACTTTCCTAGCCAACAAACACCTTAATGTGCTGTTGTTCAAAGCAAAGTAGCCGTTCCTCTTACGACAGTAGCGTGGAACCCCCAGGTTTGGATGGGCTCCGCACTTTAACATTTTCACACCCACTATTGTCTTCATTTGTTGCAAATGGACGAACAAGAGCAGAAATAATTCCCCTCTCAGAGAGGGATGTGAAGGAGCCATCCTTCCTCTTCAGGAAGACTCCGCTGCACTGTTTGGTCACACCTCTGTCATTAACGCCATCTCCGCTACCAGCCCCTTGGGGGTCTTTGGGTTTCCCTGAAGAGAAGGCAAGCCTCACAGAAAAACAGCCTTGGGAACTGAACTTGGCTCCACGTCACAGGCACTGATGTGACTCAGATCCTGGTGGGTAAGCACTTTTCTCTGCACCTTCCCACAGCTCAAAAGTCAGAGGAAACACTTTCCTTGCCTCAGTGTGCCAGCTTGAATGGAAACCCCATCATAATTAATAAATTACCTTAATTTATTAATCATGTGCATAAAATTAATTTGTGTGCATAAATAAGTTTTAAGCACAGAAGCTGCTTATGTGTCCTATTGCCTTTATAGGACTCAACAGTAACTTTTTTGTGTGTGTTTTTGTTTTGGTTTTGGTTTTGTTTTTTTGAGACAGGTTTTCTCTGTGTAATTTTGCGCCTTTCCTGGAACTCACTCTATAGCACAGGCTGGCCTCAAACTCACAGAGATCCACCTTCCTCTGCCTCCCGAGTCCTGGGATTAAAGGCGTGCACCACCACTGCCCTGCCTCCACAGTAATTTTTAAATATGTGTAGGGACTAACCATACAGCAACGGTATAGTTCAGGGGTAGAGGAGATTACTGCAGGGATCAACCATACACATGTGCTTTCATAAACATTAATGGATTCTTCTAGAAAACTATTGAACTCTTACTCAGTCACAAATGTTCTGTTAATAATAATCACCTCACTAGTTAGGCCTCTTGCCCATTTCAAAGAGAAGGATCAACTCTGGAAAACATCAACACTGGAAGGAAAAAAGTAGTCTGGAAGCAGATACAACCAGAATGGCGACCTGGAGCTACAGTCAGGACACAGCCAAAATGATCATTCCAAGTTCATCCCAGGAGACTACACCGTATTTCCCATCAAATCCAAAAGAAGAAAGGATGGGAAGCTGGCGAAGTGGCCCAGTGGGTAAAGGCGCTTGCCGCCAAGCCTGGTGAGCTGAGTCCAGTGCCAGGGAAGCACATGGTGGAAGGAGAGAACCGACTCCCTCCAGGTGTCCTCTGCCGGCTCCCATGCACCTGAGCATGCGCACACCACCACCCTCTACACAGACACACATACAAAAACAAAAACAAATCTAACTTTTTAAAAGAAAGGATGGAAATCAAGCTGTCATGGGTGCAGGGCTAGAGGCAAGCATGAATTTTAAATGCAGTAAGGCATCAAGATTAGTGACTGACTGCATTTGAATAGAGGCTCACAGAAGTTGGGGGGGGGGGGCGTGCCTGGTGGATGACATCTGGGTTCTGATAGAGATTAAGCCCGGGGAGTATGTGACCTTTTTCTCTGCAGGCCTGTCACCATTAGCTTTTAATCTTCCTGTCGCCATTAGCTTCTCAAACCTCCACTGGAAGGTGTGTGTTTGCTACTGTTCCATAATTATACCAAGCCAGAATTGTTTTTACCCGACACAATGGAAACTTTATAGAAGACAAGAAACAACTGACCAGCCACTGAGCGGAGTTTATCATGCCTAAGGTGTGCTGTTGGATTCTGCAAAGCCCATCCTCTCATTTGTCAAGAGTGGGTATCTCCCAAACACCTGCCTTCACTAGATAATTCTACTGCTCTTCTCTATTCTGCTGTGTGGATACAATTCTTTCTCTCGCCATAGCAAAGAGACCTGCCCATTATAAGGGCCGACTCCTGTGAGGTCTACTGCAGCCACTGGGCCTTCCAGAATGGGATTCTCAGCCACTCCTGGCAGTTGGCCTGAGGTCTCCAGCCCCTGATCTCTGTACCTCAGGAGGCAGCTAAACTCCTCAGCAGCCCTGGAGAAGAATTGCTAATCAAAGTCCCTAAGCCTCTCTTCAGATGCTGAGTGCTAACTGCTTCTGTTGGCAGAGACCTCGCTGATTTTAACAAAGGGGAAGATGACAGAATCAAGGTTCCCATGTTGAGCACTCCTGCCTGGGAGCCCAACCATGCTCCAGTATTTGGTTTCTACACAACCTGTTTAAAGGGGGACACATGACAAATCTCTCAAAGGGCACTGGAAACAGACACAATCTGCCTTAAATGCTCAGCAAAGAAAGAAAACCCTGAGAGTGAGAGAATGTAGGAGATTAATGATCACACATTGCAGGCAGAGGTCACAGCTGAAGACAGAGTTGTCGGTGACAGTGAACACAGTGGAATTTATGATCCACAGGTTCACACACCAAGCACCAGAGGGACGACATCCTTTGAAGAGAACAAGTCCCCCCAGAAGACACACGTCCAGCCGTGAAGGGAACTGTTCATTTTTTTAATCTTTTGCCTCCCTATTTCAACCTGACTCTGCAGCCTTAATGCAGGTCATATAAATAGTAGGGCATCAAGGTGAAAATTTATGGATACTATTTTTAAAGAGATAATGCAGGAAATGCATCTGCAAGATGTATTTTAATGAAGAATCAACTCAAGAATTCAACTCTTTATATAACATGTAATACGTTTTGTATATGTGTATTTGGACCCTTGTTTATTCAAATTTTTCAGATGCATGAATACATCAAGTATATGTTATTTCCACTCAATGCACAGTATACAGAGTGCATTATATCTGGGGCTGGTAGGGACTCTGCTTAGGTTTCTCTGGCAGTGTGGGATGGTGCCAGCTTCCCACATCTGTGTTGAAAGCAATGACTACATACAAAGATACAATCAGATGTACCTGCTTCTTCAAATACATCTACTAGAACTGATTTTAGAATTTAAGTCTCCCAATAACCTAAGAACAATGGAACTTGAAATTAGACATCAAAACGACCAACAGTCCAATTGAGAAATGGGCTTTTGAACTAAACAGAGAATTCTCAACAGAGGAAACCCAAATGGCTGAAAGACATTTAAGG